GCCAAAAGTGTAGACTTGATAAATGTGTGGCCATTGGTATGAAAAAGGTATTGTTTTATCAGTCAGTGTTTTATTGTGAAATTTATGTGATTTATTTGAATACCACAGAAACCGAAAGCAATTAAAACCCTAGATGAGATCACTGGGACAAGTAGTCCTGATTCAACAACTGATCCGAGTCCTCTGTCGTCCAATGATGTCATAGCAAAGAACATGGATATTGAGAAATATATAGATGATAGTGAAAAGTTTGCCAAAGAATATGAAATCTCATTGATACCGGTGTTGAGACAATTAAGTGTTAACCAAAACTTTAATGACTTGGAGTACAAACGATTCTCTGAATTACTAAACGCTGCAAATGTTTTGAAAACACCATTGAATGAAATGTCGTCCAAAATCAAGTGTTTAGGTGACGCACAAAGAGTAATGCGGTTTGTGTTGGACAGGGATATCAAGAATATAATCGCTTTCACCAAGAATTTGAAAGGATTCGAAATGCTCCGTGAGGGCGACCAGATATCCTTGATTAAATACGGGTGCATTGATTTGCTTTATATGCGATCAGTATTAAAGTATAATTATGACAATCAGTATTGGAATCTGTATATTGTAAGTTAATTTTACAGAATATTTTGGTATTAATTCAAAATTAACTAGTTATTAATATGATCTAGGACAATAAGACATCAGTAAAATTGGATTTAGAGATATTAAGAGGCGGACAGAGGAATATATACGGCGCTCATAAAACTTATTTGCAACAAATTGGCCGCGAATGGGACAGGGATTCAATTATTATTGATTTGGTATTTCAGACAATTTTACTCACCAACATAAATTAACAAGAATTGTCATGTTTTGAATATAGTTAACAAGTATTGTCTTATTCAACCCTAACCGTCCAAATTTAGAGCACCCGGATATTGTTAAGTGAGTCTCCATTAATATTACTGTATTTCTAAAACTTGTAAAACTTTTCACATAAATTGTTAGATTACAGCAATACATATACCTGTATTTACTTCAACGCTACCTAACAGTGAGATATCAGTCGGATTCGGTGCTGAGAACCAAATTTTCGCGTTTAATGAGTGTTTTGAGTGACGTTTACTTTTTGGGTGAGACCCAGATGAAAATAGTGGCCGATAGGAGTCCAGTTGCCGATTGTTCACCACTTCTGAAGGAAGTGTTTAATATGAAGGGCCAATAAATTCTGTGTATTTTTGCCAATAATTGTTTTACACTGTATTTATTAAATTATTAGTTCATATAAACTTAATAAAAAAAATTATTATCTCAAATTTCAATGATAATTGTAGTTTTCAGTGCATGTAAAACCACTTTGAGATTATGATTGATCATGATATAGGTGACTTATTCACTAGGTTAAGAATAATTCTTGGAATTATTACAGAGGTTTTGTATTAAGACTCTAGAATCTAAAGTTTAGATACATACAGGTAAAATAGTTGAATCCGGGTTAATGAATAATTATTTCTACTAAAATAGTGTAAACACTTTATTGAATTAAGATTATGTTTACATTAAATAAATGAAATAAAAATGTTATAATTAAGATCTTGTTGAATTTGGAATATCAAATTAATATGGTATACTCTGTACATAATAAACTTTTGAAACGTTAATAAAATGTTTCAAAAATGAGTAATGTTTACAGTTGTGGTCAGTCTATAATTAACTGATAGGTTTAGTTAATAACCAATATAATTAGGATACCATATAAGACAATGCATTTTGTGGCTTAATGTCATAGATCTCTTCGACGAGTGGACCGACGTTTTGGGGCTCCGTTTCCCTAATCCTCTGGACGTGTATTCGGTTCAATGGATACAATACTTGCAGACAATTCATTAATCGCAAGAATCGGGTCTCGGATTCACTCTTAGAGTTGTGTTTAATCTCTAAATAGCGTTGAAGTAAATACATGTAAGTCTGCTGTTGGAGTCTATTACAAATTAAAATAAGTTTAATAATTTCAAATAAATACTAATAGTTGACAATTAGTTGTCACTCACTTAACCAGGTCTTTATGAATCAGATTTGGGTGGTTTGGGTTGAAGAGTATTATAGCGGTTAACTAAAATTTAAAATTAAAATGTTATTTATCTATAAAACAGAATATTCTATACTAAAATTTTATACTGTACAGTATAGATTTTATTGTAATATCTTAACAAGTTCATAAAATACCAAATCAATGATATTGATGTCATTATTGTACTCGTCGTTGATGGCAAACAAGAACCTCCTGTGCTCGTCGTATATGTTTCCGGACACATACCTAAACAGATCCAGTCTTAATACGGTTGCGTTTTCGCCATCCTTTTGCCAAAATTAAAATCATACTTAAAATACAATAAAATTGCGTTTAAATAAGGCTTACGATGTGAACGGTCCAGAACTCGCCGTCGAAATTAAAGTTCAGGACAGATATCAAGCAAATAATCTCCGGACAGCCGGTCTTCAGCAGCGCTATCTTGTCCTCATCGCACAGATTCACGAATTCAGTCATATTTGTGGACATCTTTACGATTCGTCGACACTTGACGTCACATCGCATCTGAAGTACTCGGAAGGCGTCCACCAAATTGATGGTCTCGGATGTGGTCCTCAGCGACGGCTCTCTCATGACAGCCGCAGAACTGAACAACTCTTTGAAGCGATTGATCTCTAATTCTTGGAAATTAAAGATCAGACCCCTTATGAGGGCCGGTATGCTCATGAATTGCTGGCTAAACCCCTTTCCATTGATGGTAGTCCGATGCAAATCAGTACATAAATCGGTGGTCGAGTCAACGATAGCGTCAGTATTGCCTCGACTCGTGTAATCCCTGTCCTCACCAGAGAGTATGGACTCCTAAATGATTTACAATTTATTTTAAAATGTGTAATAAATATGAAAACACACACTCTTTTCATTCCCACAGCAAAGCATTTATGAATTCTGCACTTTTTACACAGTTTTCTGGTCGTCGATGTAATCTCACAGTTATTATTGAGAAAGCATTTAAATTCCTGATTGAAAATAAAATTTTATTTCTATAAAAGGTAATGAATGTAAGTCCAGAATTGAATACCTGAGCCCTGGGAGCAATCCGTCTAAAGAATGATCGACAGGAATCACACGTAAGTGCACTGAAATTATAACCTAAAAATCATCATAATTTTATGGTAAGTTATATCAAACTTAAAACAGTATATCGACAAAAAAGTTACTAAAATTCATACCAACAGCCCGATCGCCACAAACGCAACATATTCTTTGATTCATTTTGATAATTGTGGTTAAAACTTACTTGTTACTTATATATAAACTTAATAATATTAGATAGCAAATTAACTAAGAATCGAAATTTGTTAATTTTGTAAACAGTATTGTAATTAAATGATCAACGATTCTGTTAATTATGCAGTATAAATAGGTAATTAATACAAATTAATTAAGTCACACGAATTAGTGCTAATTCTGCAAGGCGTCTATAATTACAATAATGTAAAACTGAAACAGAACAATTTATGTTGATAACTTATGTGCAGTATACTTAAAGAATCTATATGTAAAACACATAATTAAAATGTACTTCATTTGCACTCGATTTCAAAATCAATACAAGTGTTCAGCAATAATAACAAATCGATTCGGAAATAAATGTTATTATTATTAATAATTGATTGTCTTATGATGAACAACTGTTTGAAAAAGCAATATACCTGTAAAGTTTAGTCAGGTGTAAAAAATACAATATACTGTACACTAGAATATTTACTAAATTCTTTAAATAAATAAATGATTGTATACTATACAGTAATAGTCTATTACTACAGTACTAGAAATTATATTACGAGTAAAAGTTAAAAATTTTCAATAAAATAATATTTTAGGGATACTAAATACAAAAGATTGCTTTGTATGTAAAAAGTTTTACAAATTATTATTTGATGTTTTCTATCAGTTTCTCAGTTATAATAACTTATTAAATTTACATATACCTTTAAATGTTATTGGAAATAAAATTAAATCTAACATTAATACTATCTAATATCTAATACTGGTAGAACTAACATTTAAAAATTGTAAAGTTAAAGTAAAAATATAAAGGTATACACTATTAAAATTGATAGTATTCCCATGAAAATATGAATATAATGTAAAATCATATTTCACAAAATTATTTAATTGATATTTGATGATTTATATGTTGCATGTGATATGATGTATTGACTTACTAGACACAATACAAACACATTCAATACAAAGTAATTGTATGCAATGCAATGACAATACAAATGTAATACAAATCAAGTATCAAATAAAATACGATTTTATTTTATTTTTATATAAAATCATCAATTTGTTTACAAAATATTTATAAGACTAGAAATAAATCATAGGATATATGATCGATATAATAAATAAAAATAATTTTTACAAAATACTTTCGAGTATTAATGACTAAAAAAATAATAAATTTTATATAATGCATTAAAAATATTTCCAATAATTATATTATTTAGAGATTTATAAATATAAAGCATTTCTAATTATCTAAAAATATTTTCGATGAATATATAAGATTACAAAAAATAAAATAAATTTTATTTCAAATGATTTCTTATCTCACGGTATGAATGAATAGATGGTCTAAAAGGCGAGTTCCGCCCCCCAGGGCCGGTAGTGTTTAGAGTTGTGTTGAGACATAAGTCCAC